GTAACACCTATATCAGATTGCGAGGCATCTTGGGGAGGGATGGGGAGAAAAATTTAAAACTCAAAAGCTTATGGAAGTGATTGTTGATAAATCAAAATAAATTAATAAAAAATTTTTAAAAAAATATCGTTTTAAATTGATCCATTTTGTTGGTATGTTACCTTGATTAAGATAAAACATTTTTTAGCACTTACAGTTGTGCCAGGCACCATACTATAAACCCTGGGAATATAAATACAAGCAAACAAGATAGTCCCTGGCCCACAACTCTTAAAATCTGCCCTGATGCACAAGAGCCCAAGTAAGACAGCAGCCTCCTTTAATTCACATCCAAATTCAGCAAATATACATGTATAACCTGTATCAAATTGCTTACTATTTCAGAGAGGGGGGAGGTGAGAGAGGGACGGGCAAAATTTGGAAATCAAAAAATTTTTTAAATGAATGTTAGTGATTAAACATGTACAACCTATATCACATATAGGTTGGAGAAGGGGGAGAGGAGGAAGGGAGAAAAAATTGGAACTCAAAATCTTATAGAAAATGACTTTTGAAAACTATCTTTACATGTAATTAGAAAAAGTAAAATACTATTTATATAAATAAAATAGAAGTATGTAAAAATAAATGTTAAAAATGTCTTTACATGTAATTGGGGAAAAATAAAATATTATTTAAAAATATAAATCTATTTTAAAAATCTAAAAAAAAAACCAAGTTCACCAAATATTTGTTAAATATCTTCTATAAGCAGAGAACTTGGCTGGATACCACAAGAGATACAGATATGTACAAAAAATGGTCCGTGTCCTCAATAAGCTTACTATCCACTAGGAGAGATAAGATATACACAAATGTCTAGAACAGGGGTGGGGAACCTGCCAAACACATGAAAGAGGTACAAAGTACTATGTGAGGTCCAAAGAAAGATCATTTTCTGATGGGGGGAGGGGGGTGGAATTGGCAATCAGGGAAAATCCCATGGAAGAGATTCCAGAAAGGAATACTCACTATCATTTTAAGTGAAGTTGACACCTTAAGCAGGGGACGTTATCAATACCAGAAAACAGCCTCACATTCTGTAGGATTAAGGATAATGCCAGATAATACTTGTATAGAATTTTAAGGTTTGCAAAGCAATTTGCATACATTATTTCATCTGATCCTCACAATCAATCTTGGAAGATGGCTGCTATTATTATCTCCATTTTACAGATATGAATGTTGAGCCCAAAAGAGATTAAGCTCCTTGCCCCAGGATCACTCAGCTAGTAAGTGTCTAAATTGGGATTCAAACTCAAGTTTCCCTGACTACTAGTCAAACACTCTACCACTCTGGGGATTCTTCTCCCTTCTTTGAGGAGAAAACTTTAATGGCAAAACAAAGGCCATCCCCTCTAGCTTTGCTTACCTTGACCAGGCTCCTCCTCTACAATTATAGCTAGTCGACAGTTAGGAACTATTTAATTTTTTCTTTTTTTTGTTCTCTAAGGCTATTTTATTCAGTCCAATTCCATTCAACATTGTTCTATAAAAAAAAAAAAAAAAAGAAAGACAAGCAGGCAGATTTCAGAAAAACCTGGAAAGACTTACATGAACTGATGCAAAGTGAAGTGAGCAGAACCAGAGAAGATGGGTACACAGTAATAGCAACATTTGTGAGATGGTCAACTATAATAGACTTAGTTGTTCTCAGCAATACAATGATCCAAGACAATTCCAAAAGACTCATGATGGAAAATGCTATCCACATCCAGAGAAAGAACTGATGGAGTCTGAATGCAGATCAAAGCATGCTATTTTCACTTTTTTTTTTTTGTGGTTTCTTCCTTTTGCAAACTGTAATTTTTTTCTCAAACTGTTTCTTCTTTCACAACATGACTAATATGGAAATATGTTTTACATAACTGCACATATATAACCTATATCAAATTGCTTACCATCTTAAAGAGGGGGAAGAGAAGGAAGGGAGAAAATTTGGAACTCAAAATTTTATTAAAAATGAATGTTAAAAATTGTCTTTACATTTAATTGGAAAAAATAAAATACTATTTAAACATTATTCCATTCAACATAATGTTAGTGTGCTGGAGCCAGTTCAGATGAACTCAGACCAGAGAGTCCATTGTTAAATTTTCGGTATGAGCATTTGCACCTCACAAACACCATAGATAATATTTGAATTATTGTTTTGTTGATTATCTAGATTTAAGGAGGTGTTAATAGGGCAGATTAAACTTTAAAGTGTGTGCATGCGTTTTTTCCCCTGGGGAGCCAGTTGTTAAATATTTGCCTTCACACCCTTGTAATGCTCTTATAAACATTGCTTGAATTTAGCAGGAAAGTTGTAGTAGGCTCAGGGAATGAAGTCATCACCAGACTCGAGGCCTGGTGACTATAGGCTAATAATCAATCATAATCGTAATTATAGGCATCTGGATGTCACAGTGTTGGGCCTGAAGTTAGACCTGAATTCAAATCTATCCTTTCTACAATTATTGTGCTCATTATACTAAGTACTACACTCACTAGCTGGGTGACCCCAGGGCAAGTCACTTAACCTCATTTGTAAAATGGAGGTACAAAGGAAACAACACCTACTTCCCAGAGTGGTTGTGAAGATCAAATGAAATAACTTTAAAATTATTATTAAACTCCTATGTGCCCAGAACCTGGCACATAGTAAGTGGTATATAAATGTAAGCTATTATATTAATATTTTTAGCTGTTACTATAATTGGACAGCTAGGTGGTGCAGTGGATAGAATGCCGGGCCTGGAGTCAGGAAGACTCATCTTTCTGAGTTCAAATCCATACTCAGACACTGACTGGATGTGTGATCCTGGGCAAGTCACCTAACCTTGTTTGTCTCAGTTTCCTCATCTGTAAAATGAGCTGGAGAAGGAAATGGCAAACCACTCTAGTATCTTTGCCAAGAAAACCCCAAATGTGGTCATGGACACTACTGAAAAAAAAAAAAAGAATGAATAACAAATTATCATAATAATACTGATATTTATAATAGCACTTTAAGGTTTACAAATTATAAATTTTACATCCATTATCTCATTTGAGCCTCACAACACCCTTGCCCTCTCCCTTCCAGATTTAATCCTTCCTTGTAACAAAGTAAAACAAGTAAGTTTAAACATCAGATATTGACACCTGGTAACATACATAACACTCTGCCCTAGTAGTGCCCCCCTTTTGCCAGGAACCATCTGATTTAATTCATAGAATCAGAGAATTTTGGTGTTGGAAAAGACCTTGACAGCCATGTAGTCTAATCTGTACCCAAAAAGGAATGCTCACTGTCACTTATCTACTAAGTGGTCAGTCAGACTCTGCTTCAATCTCTCCAAAGAAGAGAAAAAACCACCTTCTTGAGGCAAGTCACTTAACCCTGTTTGCCTCAGTTTCCCCATCTGTAAAATGAGCTGGAGGAAGAAATGGCAAACCAGTTTCTCTGCTAAGAAAACCCCAAAAGGGACCACAAAAAGTCAGACATGACTGAAAACTACCAGAAAAAAAAAAACCATCCTGGTAGATAGAGGTAAATTCCTCCTAATTCAGCCTTGTGGGGCCAACCTGAGCAATCCCTCTTCCTTGTGGCCCTTCAGATAGGTGAACACAGTTTTCATATGCCCCTAAGTCTTCTCTTCCCCAGACAGAAAAACTCCAGTTCCTCCTACTGGTCCCCACATGATAGGTACCCTGCCTTAGAAACTCTCCAGGTTCTCTCTGTCTTTCCTAAACACTGGTACCCAGAACTGAACACAGTATTCCAAACGTGAGCTCATCAGGGCAGACTACCCAGGACTATTCAGCTTCCTATTCCTGGAAGCTCTGCTTCTCTTAAAGTGGCCAAAGGTCAAATCACCATTCTGGGTTGCCACATCACACCACCTCCTGCTTTCCTGGCTTCCTCCAAATCCCAGCTAAAATTCCACCTTCTACAGGAAGCTTTTCCTGGTTCCCCTTAATTCTCATCCCTTTGCTCTGTTGAGTGTTTCCAATGGCTAGTTTGTTCATAATTGTTTGCATGTTGCCTCCCCCATTAGATTATAAGCTCTTCAAGGGCAGGCATTTTGCCTTTCTTTGTATCCCAAGCTCTTAGCATGGTACTTGGCACATACTCAGTAGATACTTAATAAATGTTATTGACTGACTCACAATAACTTTACAATACACTAAATATTAGCAGCTAGGTGGCTGAAGTGGATAGACCACTTCCCTGGAGTCAGGAAGACTTCTCTTCCTGAGTTCAAACCTGGCCTCTTAGCTGTGTGACCCTGGGCAAGTCATTTAACCTTGTTTGCCTCAGTTTCTTCATCTGTAAAATGAGCCAGAGAAGGAAATGGCAAACCCCTCCAGTATCTCTGCCAAGAAAACCACAAAAGGGATCACAAAGAGTTGGACAGGACTGAACAACCACAACAAAGTAGGTGCTTAATAAATGCTTATTGGCAGACTGACTCATTAACTTTATGGTACACTAAATATCACCAGATTTTTTTCAGTCAGTCAAATGGCTATCTTCCAAAGCCTTCTCTATCTTGCACTTAATAAGCTGATTTTTTTAAAATGCAAGTCTAAGACTTGACCTTTATGCCTTTTAAGTTGCACGTTATTAGATTCAGCCCAATGTTCTAACCCGTAAAGATACTTTAGGATTTTAACTCTATTATTCAGAGTTTTAGCTATCCCTCCCAGCTATGTATCAACTGCAAATTTGATAAGTATGCCACTTATGCCTTCATTCAAGTCATTGATAAGGATATCAAACAGCACAGGGCTCCAGACAAATAGATCCCTGAGGCACTCCCCTGAGACATCATGCCAAGAAGACATGGAACCATTAGTAATTACTCTTCGACTCTGGCCTTCAACAATTTCAGATTCATCTGCTCCATACCTCTCCATCTTTTTTAGAACTACTTTATCAACTGCTCTGGTAAAACCTGGGTAAATAATAACAACAGCATTCCCCATGTCCCTCACCCACTTCTACCAATGTAGTAGCCCTGGAAAAAAAGAAAGAAAGAAAGACAAAAACTTAAAGAGAAGTGCAAAGAACAAACCCTCTTTTGCAACCTACAACCCATGGTTTTGTATGAGTTGTGATACATACAAGAAGGGACAGTTTAAAAAAAGAAAGGAAGGAAGGAAAGAAGGGGAGGGGAAGGGAGGGGAGAGGAGGGGAGGAGAGGAGAGGAGAGGAGATAAGATTAGTATGGCAAGATCTGTTCCTGATGAAATCAAATTAACTCTGTAATCACCCTTTCCTTTGCTAGATATTCACCAACCATTTCTTCAATGGTCTCTTCCAGAATTGACATAGCTAGGTGGAGGATAGAATGTTGGTCTTAAAGTCAGGAAGACCTGAGTTCAAATCCATCCTCAGACATTTACTAGCTGTGTGACCCTGGGCAAGTCACTTAACCTCTTCTGCCTCATTTTCTTCAGCTATAAAATGAGGATGCTGGAGAAGGAAATGGTAAGCCATTCCAGTATCTTTGCCAAGAAAATCCCAAATGGGGTCACAGAAAGTCAGACACGACTAAAAATGACTAAACAATGATGAAAATGGAGATAGTAATAGCACCTAACTTGCAGCAAGGTTCTTGTGAAGATCAAATGAGATATTTGTAAAACATTTAATATACTCCCTGGTACATTAGCAGATGGTTAATAGACACTTGTCCCTTTCCTTTCTCCCCTCTTTCCTGTCCTGGAATTGAAGTCAAGTTATTTTCTTCTCTCTCTCTTTTTTTTTAATAAAAAGATTTCTTTTCCAGGTCTGTGCTTCTTCTCCTATTTTTCTCAGTCTTTAAAATTCACTGACAGCAGTTTAGTAGGTATATCTGCTGGTTCTTTTAATTGGAACAGTGGATAGAGTACTGGGCTAAAAGTCAGGAAAACTCATCCTCCTGAATTCAAATCTGGCCTTAAACACTTACTAGTTATGTGACCGTGGGCAGGTTCCTTAACCCTGTTTGCCTCAGGTCCTCATCTGTAAGATGAGTTGGAGAAGGAAATGGCAAACCGCTCCAGTATCTTTGCCAAGAAAACCCCAAATGGGATCATGAAAAGTCAGACACGAATGAATTAACTGAGCCACAACTCAAAAGGCCCATTTAGCTTATCTGGGAAGGGTTATTGGAATTCATCAAGTACAACTGGGTTCCCTCCTGTTTGTTCCTTACTTACCTTGGACATCGATTCCAAGTTGGCCATTTTTGTTCTGTCCTTGCTAGTATATAGATCATTCTTTCTCCTTGACTGAGGGGGCAGGAGCAAAACAAGACTTGAGCAGCTCTGCTGTCTTTCTATTGTCAGGTGTAATCAAACCCTTGGCCCCCAGACAGTCTACCTCCTATGCCTTCTTTGATCTTCCGCTTTCCCTCAATATAGCTGGGTAACTGATGAACCAACAACGACTATTAGGAAATGCAGGTGATTTAAGAGCAAAAGATATCCATAAAAATATTAAAGTGAAAGAAAAACCAACAATGGTCTGGAAGAACAAGTAATGAAACCTACTTGCCTCCTCTGGGCAGAGAGATGAGGGACTACAAGGGCAGAATGTTTTATGTATTGGCTATTTTTTCTTACCTATTTAAGGGTAAGCAAGTTTTAATGGATGGATTCAATTCTGGTAGAGCAGGTGGTGATTGTAACCAGAAATAACTGAAACAAAAGACATGATGGTCATGGTGGTTCACACCTGTAGTGCCTGTTGAAGGGGAGACCAAGACTGATGGATGGCTTGAGCTCTGGAGTTCTGAGCTACAGTAGGGTTAAAGTTTTGTTTTTTTAGTTTATGAAATGACACAAGCATTTCCATAACATAGTAGAACTAAAAAAAGATGATTGCATATGAAACTGCAAATGTATTACATACAACTTGCTATTCCTTTCAAGTATGTAATAAAGTTATCATGTAACTTTCTTTTTTCCCCCTTTTTTCTTCCCTCCCTATCCCCACCTTAGAGAGCTTTAGACACAAATATGTGTGTGTGTGTGTATGTAAAATCATTCTATACGTACTTCTATTTATCAGTTCTTTCTCTCGAGGCAGATGGCATCTTCCTTCATAAGTCTTTTGTAGTTAATTTGGGTATTCATAATAGTCAAAATTACATACTCACTTAAAGTTTTTAAAACAGTATTGCTATTACTATATACAACGTTCTCTTGGTTCTGCTCATTTTGCTCTTCATTATTTCGTTCAAGTCTATCCATGTTTTTCTACAATCAATGAGCTCATCATTTCTTATAGCACAGCAGTATTCCATCATGATCAAATTCCACAAACTTGTTCAGCTAAAGTTAATTAGTTATCCACGTTAAGTCTGGCACCAAATATGATGAGAGAGTAGAGAGTCACCAGGTTGCCTAAGGAGGGGAAAACCAGCCCAGTTCGGACAAACTGAAAAAGTTAAAGCTTTTGTATAGATCTGCAGTGGGCTATAAATAACTACTGTACTTCCAGAGAGCAGATAGGGAAATCCAATCTCAAAAAATACAAAAATAATAATTTACTTATTCAGTGCCACACCAATCAAACTACCAAAAAATATTTTATAGAGCTAGAAAAAAATCACAACAAAATTCATCTGGAAGAACGAAAGGTCAAGCATATCAAGGGAATTAATGGAAAAAAAAATGTGAAGGAAGGTGGCCTAGTCGTACCAGATCTCAAACTGTATTATAAAACTGTAATCATCAAAACTATCTGGTACTGGCTAAGAAATAGAGTGGTGGATCAGCGGAATAGATAGTAGCAAATGACCATCAAATTCTAGTGTTTGATAAACCCAAGACCCCAGTTTTGGCAATAAGAACTCACTACTTGATAAAAACTGCTGGGAAAACTGGAAAACAGTGTGGCAGAAACTAGGTAAAGACAAACATTTCACACTGTATACCAAGATAAGATCAAAATGAGTACATGATATAAACATGAGAGTAAGGAATAGTTTACCTGTCAGATCTATGGAGAAGGGAAGAATTCATGACCAAACAAGAGGTAGAGAGTATTACGAGATGTAAAATGGGCAATTTTGACTATACTAAATTAAAAAAATTTTGTACAAACAGAACCAATGCAACCAAGATTATAAGAAAAGCAGAAAGCTGGGAAGTATTTTTTTTACAGCAAGTGTTTCTGATAACGGCCTCATTTCTCAAATACATAAAGAATTGATTCAAATTTATAAGAATACAAGTCATTCCCCAATTGATAAATGATCAAAGGATATCAACTGGCAATTCTCAGATGAAGAAATTAAAGCAACCTATAGTCATATGAAAAAATGTTCTACATCACTATTGATTAGAGAAGTGTAAATTAAAACAACTCTGAGGTACCACCTCATACCTATCAGACTGGCTAATATGACAGAAAAGGAAAATGAGAAATGTTGGAAGGGATGTGGGAAAATCAGGACACTAATGCAATGTTGATGGAGTTATAAACTGATCTGATCATTTTGGAGAGCAATTTGGAACTATGTCCAAAGGGCTTTAAAACTGTTCATACCCTTTGACCCAGCAATACCACTACGATGTCTGTATCCCAAAGAGATTTTTTAAAAAAGGTAAAAATAACTATTTATGCAAAAACTTTTATAACAGATCTGTTTGTGGTAGCAAAGAATCAGAAATTGAGGAGATGTCCATTGATATGGGAATAGCTGAACAAGTGATATATGATCATAATGGAACACTCTTGTGCTATATGAAATGATGAGCAGGAAGATTTCAGAAAAACTTGAAAAGATTTCCATGAACTGATGCAAAGTGAAATTAGTAGAACTAGGAGAACAGTGTACATAGTAACAACAATACTGTATAATGATCAACTGTGAATGACTTAACTATTCTCAGCAGTTCCAAATTTTCCAAGACAGTTCCAAAGGACTCATGATGAAAAATGCTATCCAGAACTAGAGAAAGAACTGATAGACTCTGAATGGAGTCTAGAGATCAAAGCATATTATTTTTCACTTGTATTTTTGTTTTGTTTTGTTTTGTTTTCCTTTAGTACTGTGTCTTCTTTCACAACATGACAAATGTGCTAATATATTTTGCATGATTGAACATGCATAACCTATATTAAATTGCTTTAATGTCTTGGGGTAGAGAGAGGTAAGGGGGAGAGAAAATTTGGAACTCAAAAATTTTTTTTCTTTTTTTTTCTTTTTATATTAATTTATTTTGATTTATCAATAATCACTTCCATATGCTTTTGAATTTAAAATTTTCTTCTCCCTTCCTCCCCACCACCTTCCCCAAGACTGAGCATAATCTGTTATAGGTTATACATTTACATTCATATTAAACATATTTTCACATTAGTGATGTTGTAAGTAAAAATTAAAAGCAATAAGAGGAACCATCAGAAAGAGGAAACAAAACTCAACAGAAGAGAAAAAAATAGCAATTCAACTTCCATAGTTCTTTCTTTGGATGTGGATAGCATTTTCCATCACAAGGCCTCTGGAGATGTCTTAGATCCTTGTATTGCCAGGAAGAGTTAAATTTATCAATATTAGTCAGCACGCCATGTGGCTGTTATTGTGTACAACGTTCTCTTGGTTCTGTTCACTTCACTCAGCATCAGACCATACAAGTCTTTCCAGGTTTTTCTGAAGTCAGCCTGTCCATCATTTCTTATAGCACATCAAAATTTTTTAAAATAAATGTTAATCTTTACATATAACTGGAAAAAATAAAATATTATTTTTAAACTACAAAAACAAGTCAATAAAAGATATGAATATAGCTATGGGGGAAAAGGGAAGAAGACATGAGAGCCTGGAGTGTGGTGATTACAATAGGAATGGAAAGGAGAAAGGACCCACACAAGAAATATTGTGAAAAAATTGACCAGAATTAGCAATTAGTTGGATTTAAGAGGCAAAGGAAATAGTCAAAGATAGCATTGAGATTTCAAGTGTAAATAACAGAGAGAAATTTTATCCCACAAGATAGAGCTATTTCCTTCAAGGTATGGATCTGGTTTTCATGGAGAAAAAAGGAATGTTAGGTTTTTAGTAGTTTCAGTCCTTTCAGTTTTCTTGGCAAAGATACTGAAGTGATTTGCCATTTCCTTCTCCAACTCATTTGATGAGGAAAC